CGGGCCCACCAGAAGGAGCTGGCCACGCAGCTGAACGAGGACGCGCGGCGGCGCCTGACGGAGCAGCGCGGGGAGCAGCAGACCCAAAAGTACCCGAAATCACCCCAAAACCGCCCGGGCCCCCCGGCCTGCCCCTCCTCCTGTCCCCTTGGCCTGATTGGGGCACAGATTCCTGCCCAAATTCCCAATTCTTGTCCCAAATTCCCAATTCCTGCCCCAAATTCCTGCCCAAATTCCTAGTTTCTGCCCCAAATTCCCCAATTTCTGCCCCAAATTCCTGCCCCGATTCCTGCCCCAAATTCCCAATTCCTGCCCCAAATCCCGAATTCCTGCCCCAATTTGTGTCCCAAATTCCTGCCCCAAATTCCCCAATTCCTGCCCCAGTTCCTGCCCCAAATTCCCAATTCGTGCCCCAAATTCCTGCCCCAAATTCCCAATTCCTGCCCCAAATTCCCAATTCCTGCCCCAAATTCCCAATTCCTGCCCCAATTCCTGCCCAAATTCCTGCCCCAATTCCCCCAATTCCTGCCCCAATTCCTGCCCCAAATTCCCAATTCTTGTCCCAAATTCCTGCCCAAATTCCCACTTTCTGCCCCAAATTCCCGAATTCCTGCCCCAATTTGTGTCCCAAATTCCTGCCCCAAATTCCCCAATTCCTGCCCCAGTTCCTGCCCCCCAAACCCGGCCGTTTCCTCCCCGTTTTTCCCAAACCCGGCCGTTTCCTCCCCGTTTTTCCCAAACCCGGCCGTTTCCTCCCCGTTTTTCCCAAACCCGGCCGTTTCCTCCCCGTTTTTCCCAAACCCGGCCGTTTCCTCCCCGTTTTTCCCAAACCCGGCCGTTTCCTCCCCGTTTTTCCCAAACCCGGCCGTTTCCTCCCCGTTTTTCCCAAACCCGGCCGTTCCCTCCCCCCTTTTCCCAAACCCGGCCGTTTCCTCCCCGTTTTTCCCAAACCCGGCCGTTTCGTCCCCGTTTTTCCCAAACCCGGCGGTTTTCTCCCCGTTTCCAGGGCGCGCAAGTCCAACGTGTCGTACAAGAGCGCGGCGCTGCTGCCCAAGGAGCCGCACGTGCGCGAGATGAAGATCTACATCGACAAGAAGTACGAGAGCGTCATCATGCCGGTCTTCGGCATCGCCACGCCCTTCCACATCGCCACCATCAAGGTCCGAAATCGCCGCGATTCGCCCCAAAAACGGAGCGGGGGTGGGGCGGGAGGAAACGGGGGGAAAACGGAGGGAAAAATTGAAAATGGGGGGTGGGAAATGGGTGAGGTAGCTGGGAAAGACAAAATTGACAGGAAAAACCACCAAAAGTGCTTGAAAAACCCCAAAATCCCCAGGATTTGCCCCAAAAATGGAGCCGGGGGGAGTCGGGGGTGGGGC